CCCGGATCAAAAAAAAAAAAAAAAAAAAAAAAAGAGTGCTACTGACCTCAACTTCACATCTCATGCTGTCAAATAAAATCCTAGGAATCAGAGAATGATCACATATTCATACTTTTAAAATCCGTTTTATGGAAATACAATTGACACATCATAGGCCTTTCTGAAGTGCTTGGTTTGATGTATTTTAACAAAGATATACACAAAGATATATATGGTTATAGATGAGGCAGATGATATTTGCTTCTTGTATGTTTTGTTTTTCCTAAGCAGAGTTTATCTAAGTCAAGTTTCACCGTGTCGTTTACAGAGTAAACTTCCACACACAGTTATGTAACCATTGTTAATGCTTATCTTCTTTTTATTTATTTGTTTTGGTTCTGAGGATCAAACTTGGGACCTTGCGCTTGTGAGGCAGGCGATGGAACCGCTGAGCTAAATCCCCGGCCCTATTTTTTTCTTTATTTTTTTAATTCGTCCATGTTTGCATTACACAGTGATTTCCTACCCTGTGGGCCGTTGGTACACAGCTTAATTCTTTCTTTCAGCCCCTTCCTACCGCTCTCTCTCCACCTCTCCATCTCCTTCCCATTTGCAAAAGCAAATGTTTATCATTTAAATAATTGGGAGGAACGGGAGTCTCTAAAAGCCCCCAAAGGAAACCGTCTCCGTCTCATGAAGCCAAACAAGGTTTTTCTGCCTCTTCCATCTGGTTTTCTTTATGAATATTCACAACTGTCACCAGCTTGTCCTCCTCCTGTTCATATGCTTCTGTCCTTGAAATCTAATTTGAACAAAGAGGACTTGCGTCAGTCGCTCAAAGCCTGGAAACTGCTGCCGGCCTCCGAATAAATACAGGCCTCTGATTGGCTGCCTGACTAGATGCTAAGGTGTTGCCCCGGTGACGAGGTGGTGACAGAGGTCTGTAGCAAATCAGAAAAGAACCCCTGATACTGCTTTCTCTCCATCGAGAGCGATGGAAAACAACAGCCAAAGCCTTATCTATGTGCCGGAGACTGAAGCCAGACCCGTATCTCTCACAGCGTACTAAACTAAAACCAAAACAGAGCAAAGATCTAAACATCCAAGACATAAATATTGAACCTACTTTAGGAGAATAAGACAGATACAACTCAGGAAGTCCTAGGTACAGGCAAGGAGTTTCTAACCAGAACTCTCAAGGAACAAGAAATAATACTGAGAATCAGCACATGGGATCATCAAATTAAAAAGTTTCTGCACAGCAAAGGAAACAACAAACAGAGTGAGGAGACAACCTACAGAATGCGAAAAAATTGCTAGCTATGATTCAGACAGAAGATAACACCCAGAATACAGAGGGAACTCAAAAAACTTACACCCCCTGGTATAAAAGGTCCCATCAAAAAATGGGCAAGTGAAGTGGATAGACACTTCTCAAAAGGAGTACAAACGGCCAATAAACGTATGGAAAAATGCCCACTCTCACTGGCCCTTAGAGAAACGCACATGAAAACCACACAGATCCCATCTGGCTGCACAAGGAAGGGCAGTCATTAAGAAATCAAGTAACTAAAGCTGGTGCCCTGTGGTGAAAAGGGAACACTTCTTCTTTGTTGGTGGGGGGATAAACCGGTACAACCGCTATGGAAATCAGTACAGAGATAGCTCAGAAAAGCAAAATTAGAAATTCCATTTGAACAGCTAGTCCCCCTCTAGGTATCTTCCCAAAATAGCTAAAGAGACTGTATTCCAGTGATCTAGGAACACCCATATTTATAGCAGCACAATTCATAACAGCTAAATCCTGGAAGCAGACTGTATGTCCATCAACAGATAAATGGATAAAGAAAATGTGCTATCTATACATAATGGAATACTAAAACTATAAAGGAGAATAAATCTGAAACATGTATAGGAAAACGGATACACCCAGAAAATATAATGCTAAGTGAACTAAATCAGACAGACAAGTTTAACTACCATATGGTATCTCTCATTTTAATAGGACAAAGTGTAAATGAAAAAGCAAAATAAAGATCTGATAGAAGGAAATAGGGAGATAGATCCGTTGCAAACAGGTAGGGAATCTTACAGACTGAGGGTTAGGGAGGGGGAGAAGGGAAGGAAGCAAAAAGATTTAAGATGTGTCATTGTTTTCATTCTTCCTCATTGCTAGGACAA